GCCCCAACCCCCCCATCTTCATCATCCTCACAGGCAGTACTCAATAGCTACGGCCCGAACCAGCACTCTACAATCCCCCCATCCCTTCCCCAAGACTCACCTATCAACACCAGCGTCAATCCAGCCATGATCGCATGAACCACCAGAGGCAGAAAGAAGCCCGCTCCGTTCAGTAAGAGCCCGGACAAGAAAGGTCCCGCCGTGTTGCCAAGGGCAAGGCAGCCCACGATTTTCGCAAAAATGACGCCCCGATCCGTCGGTTTTCGCTTGGTCAGATCTGCACCCGCGTTGACGTGCAGGTGGATGTTCGCATGTTTGGATATTTGAAAGATTTTCGATTGCTTACATTTTTTAAATTGGTTGACATGTGGGTGCGTTCGAGAGGGCGAGCAAGTCGTTTATGGCCTCTTCGTTCCCTGGTATCAGGACCCTAAAGCTGGCCAATCTCACGCCTCAGAGGCCCAAAGGAGGGAGGGAAAGGCGGGGGAGGAGGGGAACCCCCCATAATAAAGGAGAAAAAGAGCAGGAGGACACTAACGGAGAGAGACGTACCTGCTGCATAGGCATACACGCCCGACAAATAAGTGCCGTATGAGCCCGTCAGTCCATTCACGAAAGTGGCCACGAAGAGGCAAATGCGGGCAGCCCGGTAGGACGAGGAAGAGGAGGGGGATGAGGGCGCGGCGGACGGGGTGGAGGATGAGGAGGAGGAGTGTGTGAGGGCAAGGAGGAAGAGCAAGAGGTAAAGGAACTGTCCGCAGGAGCTGATGAGGAGGACTTTCCTGCGGCCCATATAGTCGGAGAAGGCACCCAGCGTTCCGATCGTCAGGGTGGCGCTGGCGAATTCAAGTGCGTACAGGTACTGAGAAGGGGATGAGGAGGGAAAGAAAGGAATAAGAAATTGTCGAGCGCTTGAAAAGGAGAGAAAGGATCTTTGAAAGGCAAAAGCCAGACATGCACTCCACGGTAAAATGCGGGAAAACCGAGAAGGGGAGAGGAACACGTACTTTCATCGTCAATGCTGCCGTCCCGCTAATGTTAGCACTGTCGCAATCAGAAGCGCCTAATCTGTCACATTCTAGCTGCGAGAAATTCAGGACGAGGTCCCGTGGGAAGGGAGGAGGTAGAGGAGGATAAGAAAAGCAAACGTAGCTTTTCAGAAGGTCGGGGGGGAAGGATATTGCCCGAAAGAAATAATCATAGTCCTTGAGTAAGGATAAAAAGATTGTTCGGGATCGTTGGAAATTTTGTCCTCTTACCTGAATGAGAAACTGGGATAGGATGGGTTGGATACCAAAGAGGGTTATGAAAAAAAAGGTACTTGGAAGGAGAAGTGGCCAGATTGACGACGCCAGGCCAGCATGTGTCGAATTCGTCGTGTTCCCTTCGTTGCTCCCAAGCGGAGAGTCCGAAAAGTGGGAGAGAAGGTGTTGAGATAGAGTACTGGAGTCAGGGATGGAGGAGGAGGAGGGTCGAGAGGCTGGTGGAGACAGCGCCGCCTTGTCGGAGGAAGCACTTCCCGTGTCTCCGCGAGTTGCTTTCATCCTGCTCCTGGGGTTTTTATGTAATCAGCAAACCAGTGTGAGCATGCCGGCGACTGTCCTTCGGGGGTCTTGTCTCATGGTGTATTCTATCGTGTTGTGCGGCGATCCCCCCCCTGCAACTCGACCTCCTGACCGGCGATCAACCTCAAAAATATGGGCCGAGGCCACTGAAAGGACCATGTCTTTGTCGGCATTGATGACGAAGACCGGCTTTCTAGGTGCACGTATGTGCATTCTGGTAGTATGTGGCCATTGATTGATTGGGCCAGGCGATTCCCGGCATTCTAAGAACAAAATGGCAGCAAGTAAAAATGTGCTAGTTCCTTAACCCTGCATGCTTCGATTTTAATATGCCATGCCAAGACACTGCGTGCCAATGGCGTGCAGTGTGCATTAATATGGGATGATACACAACCTTTTCCCGTTAAAGTGGTTTTTATCTTCGACCAAAGTATGAAGTGGAACAAAATGTTTGATATTCACCTCGGTTGGAAAACGCAGCCGAGTGAAAAGGTGGGTTCTCTCCTGATGCAAAAGGAACACTGGGCATTTTGTCAATTTTTTTGTAATTAAGTGCTGCTCTTGACACTCATTTATTGCTTACACCAAATTTTCGTCGAACACAATTTTTACTCTGCGATTTGCATCATAAGCATGTCTCGCATATAGCATGCCGAGGTCGTTAGGGTTTAGAGCGTGTCGATCCCTGGTATTTTTCATCATCATCCTCATAATCATCACGTATGAATGATCTTCATAAGGTCATCTTTGGCCGAGAACATCGAAACAGTCTCTTTCCTGGTGCTTCAATGGATACACATGCCACGATTGAAAATCATTTCTACGCTGACAGGAGTCAAATTTATTTGTTGTAGGGTGGCGAGCCTTCAGCTTTATGTGCCATTTGTCAGAGATATTGACCATTGATAGTCCAGGATCTGTTCTTATATTTCGTCAAGATACGAGATATTTTTAGCTACGACTGGTGGTTCACACAAGCTGTAAATTTGCCTGCCTGTCTAGTCCTTTACACCAACAAAGTGCCACGCAGCCAATGAATTTCTCATGCATCAATTGCAACGTACAAGAAAATATGTTCGGCTATATTTTCTTTTGTTTTGTCCGTAAAACCACGCTTTCAATCGATGAATGGTATTGGAGATTACGAAAACGAAGGAGCAGCCGTTTGATCCAAAATTTGATTGGCCGTTTCTTAACCTCCCCCCAAAATAAGGTGATTGGCTGATCAAGTGGGCCTTGAAAGACATCATTCCTTGTACAAATCGCATGTAAATTATTGATATGACGTAAAATCTCATATCTCATTAAAAAATATTTATTGGTCCTGAATTTGTGCCCTATTTCCTTCTTGTCTACGCACTGCAAAGGACATCCTTTGTATCATTGGACAAACTTGCGATATAATGTACTTTTGATGAGCCTGGCCTTTTCTCCTCGCAATTCATTCTATCACGTAGTATTATCCCGTAAATTATCTGCTTTATGAATCGAATACTCTCAGTTTACTTATATAAATACACACAAATAACTTGTGCTCATATAAAGGAAAAGTGTTGAAAACCCAAAGAAATTAAACTAATTATATTTCGTGCCTCCATAAAGCCATCTGGTACCTATTAAGTCGCAGAAAAATAATGTGCATCTTCTATAGTTGTATTTCTTCAAAATCTACTTGCACATTCATGATCCTGGTGGCATTCAGTTGGGCGACAAGAAGTCATGGTTTCGCAAGCAGCATGATAGGGGAGTACTGTACGACACCAATGGTGAGTTTGAGACTGAATCTACCGCCAACCTCACCTAATTTGCATGTAGTATGGACTCTAAGGCCTGCATGCAGGCAAACCGGCTCAAGTTTGGCTTACATATATCTAAGCTATGTCTGCACCCCACATCGGAACACAGACTGTGGGGACCGTTATGATGGGCTATCCTGCCTATCCCATGACTACTAATGCGTCCATCGTTGTGTCGCGGGACGGAGCTTCATTGAGTCCTTTCGATATGACATACTACCCCCATGAGAACTTGACGTTGGATCTTTTTGGCGCCCCGGGTCAAGTTGCGTGGGAGGCCAGCGGTGGAGCATCATTTTTGACAGGTGGGGGATGCCCGGGTAACATCCGCTCTGCTAATAGAACCACGACAATAATGATGCCAGGCGACGACGTTAGTGAAGTCACGGTTTGGGGGGGCTGCGCCGATGGCAATTCAGCTGTGGGGATCATGCGCAGTGTGACCCTGAAACCGAAAATGAACGCCATGATGTCCGTGTCCATGTTTAACGCTTCTTCGGAGACCTACGCCGCATATATAACCATGACATTGGTCGGTATTCCCTACATCGAATTTGACGTACCGATTGCTAGAAGGCTGCTCTCCACGGCCCTGGACTTGCCCTACAGTCAAATCTACTTGGTAGCTAACGTTGCGAGTCCTACATCGCCCATCGGTCAACGCTTTTTGAGGTGGCTAAAGGGAGAAAGCGAAACCCACCGTCGTCGCATACAATCACGTCAAAATCCCGTCGCCACTGATGTGGTTCTTCGAATTACCAATTTGAAGACTCAGGCAGATGCGAGCGCTTTACTTTCCCCACTAAAAACTTTTTTGACCTCATCATTGCCACATGACTTTCTTGGCCAATATATGAACGCGACAACACCTCCATCCGCGGAGGACCCTGTCTCTGTGGTGATACGGCAAAGCGGTTCGATCCCATTCAGCATTCCTTCCCTTCGTGCCAGATGTGTTCTGGATGAGCCGACGGGAATGGCGCTTTCCTGGAGGCTGGACCCGACTTTGGAGTTTGTCGACTTGCAATTAGAGGGAGCTGGTAAAGGGTGGATAGCCGGCGGGCTGGTGACAGCGGATAAGTTGATGGTGTCCAGACCCCGACACAAAGTCCTTCTGTATGACTTCACGGCAGGAGAGGCCCGCTTTCTGTCCTTGGAAGGGTATTTGCCCCGCAACTTGGTCGCAACGAATGCCAGTGCCTACGGTGTGGCCCCACTCCTGTTGCAAGCCGCCGGAGGAAAAATGTTCATGCGCTACCGACAAGTGTTCGACAAAGCCATCGTGCCCGTGGATTTGCTCGAAAGCACCAGCTTCATGTGGGCATGGTCTGAGCATTCTTTTCCCGAAATGCACGCCGCCGCCCGCACCGTATTGTTGCATTGGGCCGACGGCACTTGTAGCCCTCCTCTGATCCTGCCCGCCCTGGAAGGTTATTGGCTCTTGTTATTCCCTTTCTTGGCTGTCTTTGTGACCTGGACTTCCATGCGAAAGACCAACGAAGACGACTGCGGAAGGACTCTGCTGCAGCGCCGTCTAGGGGCCATACTCCCGCTACCTGCCTGGGTGGATGAATACACATGTGGTATCATGTCTGACCTTCTTAACCTGAAATGGGGGGAATTCTTGTTCATTGTCCTCTTTTACGTGCTGCAGGGGATGTTGATCGTCTACTGGGCCCTGCGCTTCGGAGATTTCGGGTTGAAAAGCTTGGGCATCGCGTTCGGGAAGGCCGCCCTGACCAATTTGATGTTAGCCTTCCTCCCGGTCAGCAAGACAAGCGTATGGGTTGTGATTTTTGGCATCTCCTTCGAAAGAGCCGTCAAATACCACCGGCATGTTTCGTACCTGATGCTGCTCACGACTACGCTCCACTTGGCCTTCTTGATCGGCATCAATCCGGTGTGGGGATACCCGCCCAAGCTCAACGGTGTGGTCATGGCGTACGGACTCTGGGCCTACATTTGCTTCCTGGTCATGGCCGCCACGGCTTTGTTCCGTCGTTGGCACTTCGAAATTTTTCGGTATACGCACTACCTGTTCATTGCAGGCACCGTCCTGTCCATCCTCCACGTCCCGGAGGGTCTACCTTACATGTGGGTGCCTGGCATCCTTTATGTCGTGGACTTTTTCTGGCGTTGGGTCGGCGTGCTCCGAGACCCGGTGCTGGCGACCCTCTCGGTCTTCCCGGACCGGGTGACCCAGCTTGACGTGTTCCCCCTGACGCCGGGGGGGCCGTCCAATCTCTTTCACAAATGCGGCGGTGGGAAGGAAAGAAAATGGAACAGACCGCTGGAACCGGGGAGCTATGTCTTTGTCTGCATCCCGCGCATCTCCCTCTTCCAATGGCATCCGATCAGTATTTCGACCGCCGGGATGACGCTTTCTCCGCAGGCGGGCGTGGCACCCTCTTTCAGTCTGCATTTGAAAGGTCTTCAAGAAGGAAGCTGGTCGGGGCGGCTCTGCCGGTTGGCCGAAGTGGCGAGGACAAGGGAGGACCGGCACCACGCGGGGACGGGAACGGACAAGCCTCCCGCAAGCGCGAGAGAGAGCATCCGTGGCTGGACGGGATGGCTTCCTACATTCAAAGAGGGGAGCGATTCCCCCATGGAGAGCCCCAGGGCTCAGAGTCAGCGGTCCCTCTTCCCCAGCCACCACACTTCGATCAACTGGCTGTCCATCTTGGTGGATGGGCCGTATGGAAAGCTTTCCATCGACCTTCGGAACTACCGGCGGCTGATGCTCGTGGCAGGAGGCATCGGCGTCACCCCCATGACCACCACCCTCTCCTACATTAGCTACCAAAAGAGGCAACAGCTTCTCACCTCTCTCCAAGGTGTGACACTGGTGTGGGTTTCTCGAAATTTAGATTTGATGTACGGATTCGCCCCCTTTTTGGGTGCGATGCAGCTGGAGATGAATACGCCTGAGCAGCCGAGCTTTTTCGAGCCGGAACTCTACGTGAGCAAAGGGCTTGACGCTAGCGGCAGCATCTCTCCAGTCT